GCAGAGGATCTGGGGCTTCAAGACCAGCGAATGTTTTCAAATCCTCTGCACACTGTAGCCTGGCTAATGCTACACAAAAGTGCAGACAATCAGCATAAAAGTGAAGTCTATAGGTCACTAACAAAAGTGTCACCAGCTGTTTGTCAAATGCAGATTCACCCCCTCATCCCAGTCCTACTGAATTCGACTCCCCTGGGAGCAGGGTCTGAGAACCTACATTTTAAACAATTTCCATGTACATTATTTTATTTTTTATTTTTTAAATATATTTTATTGATTTTTTTTTAATAGAAAGGAAGAGAGAGGAATAGAGAGTTAGAAACATCAATGAGAGAGAATCATCTATCAGCTGCCTCTTGCACGCCCCCTACTGGGGATGTGCCCACAACCAAGGTACATGCCCTTGACTGGAATCGAACCTGGGACCTTTCAGTCCGCAGGCTGACACTCTATCCACTGAGCCAAACCGGTTTCAGCCATGCACATTATTTTAGAACTGTTGCTCTAGACTTCTCAGCTAAGATTTTGAAACACAACAAAGCATTGCATTATTTCACTCTGGTATATCTTTCTCCTTGGATGGTCCTATAGGCTTATTTGTATGGTGAGATTTCAGGTAAAAAAAATATACATTGAAACTTTTTTTTTTCACATGTAGTGTTGACATAGCCCTTTCTTTTCTTTTCTTTTCTTTTCTTTTCTTTTCTTTTTTTTTTTTTTTTTTTTATGGAAATAGAGTATATACCAATGAAGGAACCAAACCAGACGACACCATAATTTAGTTTATGTGTATTGACATGTTACTCCTTGAATACTGACAAATCAGTTTTTCCTGATTCTGTAGTTCTATATATATCGTCTTACTAGACATAGAAATAGGAGAGGAACAGAGTAGGCATTTACCAACAATATCAACTTGCCTTTACTGTTATTATCAATAACATTTTTATTTTTCCCAAAGCAAAGACTAAGAGGAATAGGAAATGACATGGCCCTAACTTGACTTTGAGTTTGTTCAGTCTGAACCAGCTTTAGCAGTAACATTTGTTCACCTCGGAGGTAGCCATTAGAAATGTGGGAATTGGAATTTCACTAGTGCTACATTCTCACATTCACCAAACTCTAGTTAAAGGTTTAAAGTGTCTTAGTTTGATGCTATCGTGTTTTATAGAAGACTTTTTCACAGAGAGTAGAAAAAGGAAAAATAGTAACAGAGGGGAACGACAACAAAAAGCCTGTTTCTCTTCAGCGACACCGGTGCTGAGACCTTTTGATTCAAACTTCTTCATTTCCTACAAATATTTCTTTCAACGGTTCCACAGGCAGAAGAGGCTCTGAACAGCCAAAGTGCTGTGCTTTTTTTTTTTTTTTAATATATTTTTATTGATTTTTTACAGAGAGAAAGAGAGAGGGATAGAGAGTTAGAAACATCGATGAGAGAGAGTCATCGACCAGCTGCCTCTTGCACACCCCCTACTGGAGATGTGCCCGCAACCACGGTACATGCCCTTGCCCGGAATCGAACCTGGGACCTTTCAGTCTGCAGGCCGATGCTCTATCCACTGAGACAAACTGGTCCCAGCGGTGCTGTGCTTTTTAAAACCTGCTGGACAACTTCTCCTCCCTAACAGTGCTGAAATCTTGCCATACCCGACTGTGTATGACAAACCACAAAACATATGCATAAAAAATCTAGACTCTTCTGACTGTGCCAGTCCGTGGCTAAGAACTTACTTCGGCAGCCGCGCAGCTGTTGGAATCAGTCATATTTACAATTTTTACAAATGAGTTTATTTTAATAAAAACAAGTTGCTCTGTGAGCATGATCTCTAAACAGATTTATGTGGGCTGGCACAATCTGCTATGCGAACTATATATTCATATTGCTTGGATCTGCAAGTAGTTTTTTTGTTTTTGTTTTTTTTAGGGTGCGTCTTGCTTTGTACAATGATACCGAATAATTGGCAGCAATCCAGCTGAGGACATTGTCATTAGCATTGTGCTATTAAAATTGTTTTCCTGGACAGAATTGCCCTGTGGGCATGACCATGAACCAGATAGACAGTTTATAGAGAGAAGGAAGTGACACCATAAGCTGGTGCTAAAGTTAAAGAACTGGGAGGCAAGTGAGGAAGAGGATGGACAGGAGAAAAGGAAGAAAAAAGAGGGAGATGAAGGAGGCAGGAAGGAGGGAGGGAAGGAAAGAAGAAGGAAGGGGGGGAAAGAGAGAGGGAGAGAGATGATTTATATGCATCAGTCCATACCCTTAAAAGGATCTCTTTATGTATCTCTCCTTGATGTCTGGCTTGATTTTTCAAAAATACATTTTTATTGATTTTAGAGAGGAAGGGAGAGGGAGAGAGAGATAGAAACATCATTGACTGGCTGCCTCCTGCACGCCCCCTACTGGGAATCTAGCCCGAAACCCGAGCTTGTGTCCTTGATCAGAATGGAACCAGGACCCTTCAGTCCACTGAGCCAAACCGGCGAAGACTGGTTTGATGTTTTTACGTTCATGTTGGTTTGCTTGTTTACTAGACTGTAATCTCCTTGAAGACAGTAATACCAGTGCTTAGAACTTTTGCCTGACTCAGCTTTGCATCCTCCACAGGGCTGGCAGAAGCTGCTGCTCAAAAATGATTGTTAAATGCATGAACAAAAGAATGAGTTTCTGTATCTGAAGCATTTCCTTTCCTCAGAGAGGTTCTCGGTGCACACAGTATTGCTCCCTCGGAAATATATTGAAATTCTAGGGGGGGGGGCAGTTTTTGGCCTGTATAGTTCTCATATTGGTGTACTTATTTACATAGTGAAAAATATGTTTTATTATTTTTTTCTGATATTAGTATGGCATTTTAGAATCAATGGCTTTCTCTTTGTTTTTCACTTGTAGAACACTGACTTCCTGAAATTATTTGTGTAAATAGCTGGCATTATCTGTGAATGTAATTCCAGGAGAGTAAAATGATGTTAAATTTTTGTTGTAAATACAGGGTGTTGAGTAGGACATACTGTGTACTAGTATAATACCTATGTGTATAAGATTGCTTATAAGACCACTACGTGCTGAAACCCATTTGACTCAGTGGGTAGAGCATCGGTCTGTGGAGTGAAAAGTCCCTGGTTTGATTCCGGTCAAGGGCATGTTCCTTGGTTGTGGGCACATCTCCAGTAGGAGGTGTGCAGGAGTCAGCTGATCGATGTTTCTCTCTCATTGATGTTTC